TACATACGTACATACGTACATACGTACATACGTACATACGTGCATACGTACATACGTACATACGTACATACGTACATACGTACATACGTACATACGTACATACATACATACATACATACATACCTACATATACATACATATACATACATATACATACATATACATACATATACATACAGATACATACATACACATACATACATACATACATACATACATATGTACACATGAGAGTCCCATGACAATCCTCTCCCAAACTGATGTGGATCCCATAGCACCCGTTGGAAAGGACCGTGCTTTATAGAGCCCTTCTCGGGGTGCCTGCTGGTCTAGGGTAGGCCACGGCGCTAAGGATATGTCAACTACACCATGGAGCTGGTCTCAAATGCCACTGGCCATGAAGTCATCTGGAACCGGACTGGTCGTTTTCTTGCCGAGGACAGCGCCATTTCCGGGTTCAGCATGTAGGAAAGAGGGGTATTTTTCAACAAATCCTCACAAGTCCACACACCGAATTTCTTACAGGTTCTCTTTTTCAGAAACCCCAAATACATGAGGTTTTCAAGGCAGATCCTATTCTGTACGGACCCGAGCGCTCTAAGCCCCTTAGCCTTGACCCCTAAACCCTCTGAGCTTTAAGTTTAGGGCTTAGGATGTAGGACCCTTCTCCTTGTGCCTGGGAAATCCCATATCTTTGACTTCTAACACTTGGCACTCACCACCCTAAACCTCCAACCCCATACCGCCAACCTAGACACCCCTAAACTCTCATCCCTAGGAATTGCGTCTGGTTAGCAGGGAACGAAGGAATAGAAAGGATGGTTGAAGCTATGGTATTCTGGGGGATTGTATTCGGATTGCCATACGGATCTATACCATTCTTCCTTACTAACCAGAGGTATGCTACATAAGCCCGTATAAGCCCCAGCTTCCATTTTGTTTTTCATGTTCTCTTCCATTTCATTCTCCGTTATTGGAGTAATATCCCTACACGTCACTACACAGAATCTCTTCGTTACCTCAATATAACACGTTTAAACACCCTATCTATCTATGTATATACATATACTTACGATACAGAATCCCTAATTAGAACCCGAATAGAACCCCATAACACAACCTAGCCATCTATCTATCTATTTATCTGTATATATATATATGTTATAAACAAATTCACACATATTATTGGATTACAATAAACAAACAATCCCTTTGTAACCCCAATAGACCCCTATCAAACACCCTATCTGTCTCTAGATCCATGTATACAACCCTAAACCCTAAAACCCAAACGCCTAAGCCTAAAACCCTAAACCCAAAACCCTAAATCCTAAACCCTAAACAAGACGGAACTATGAAGTTGCTTGAAGGAGTCCAGGTCCTTGAGACCTAGCAAGCAGGAGCCCACTGAGACCTTTGGGTGAACAGGGTGTGGGGATATAGGATTGGGGTTTGGGATTAGGATTTAGGGTTTAGGGTTTGGGTTCGGGGTTTAGGGTTGAGGATTGGAGTTTAAGGCTTGTGTCTGAGAATTTGGGTTTAGCTTGCCTACAATATGCAGGCTGCTAAATCCAAACCTCGATGAAGGAAGAGTGAGCACGTCGCTCGATGTTCTCCGGTCGTTTGTGATCCAGACCTTTTAGCCACAGTTTTGTCTAACCTTGCCCGCCCTTCCCACTCTCAATATGTCAGAAGGCTCTGGTGCCTGGCTTTTGCGCTTTGCTTTGCCTTGTCATTCGGGGGTGCGGCCTCTAATGTTATAAGACGGAATGCGAGGTATGAGGTAGGGATTGGAGTTGAGAGATTAAGGTTTAGGGTCCGAGGAATTCGGGTTGGGCAAAGAGATGAGAATTGAGGGTTTCAGTGTGTGCAAGCCCTTGAGGCCGTTGTGCACCAAAACTGCAGGCAATTTTATACCCTAATTACCACGACCCAGCAACTAGGCGGTCCGTTTTTTGGCTTAAGTTGCCAAGGGTGTACCTTCCCGAAACTAACATGAAACACCACACTTAGAAGGACGGTAGTCTTTATCAGTTTTTAGGTTGCATGTTCCTTTGCGGGAGGGTAGGGAGCTGGGCTATGATTCAGGGCTTAGGCTGTAGCATGAGGTTTTCGGCATTGTGGGAATGAGAAATCGCTCCCATGATTCCATGATATGGCTGGTTTAGAATTTGGGGTGTACATTGGAGGTGCTCAGTGCCTTTGGCTCCCCTGAATCTGGACCCTTGTGGAAAATCAATCGCATGGCAGTTTCCCGAAAAAGGTGGACCCCAATCTAGACCCCAAAAGATTATCATCCTTATTATGGGGACCCCCAAAAACACAAATAATTTTGGAAAACTCCACATAGTTGCTTGTTGCTCACCGTTCAGATAGACAGCTGCAACTTCAAACATACCAGCTCCATGAGCAGCTGAGAGATCCGAGCACGAAACACAGCCTACTGCAACAGGAGGCAGGACCCTAAGCCCTACCCTAAACCCTGAACCCTTCATTCTATCAATCCTGTACCCTGGATGGCCCTGTACATTTGTTGGTCCTCAGCGGTCTCCCCTGAAGGAGCTCCCGCCGCGTGCGCGGTACATCAACAGGATCCTGATCTACTTGAACAAGGCCCGGTTTGAAGGGGTTAAATGTTGAAGCCGGAGAGTGCTGGTGGTCATGCTTCATGTCAAGTGAAAGTGAAATCAGGGAAACTTGGTTACCAATTGCTTCGACCACTGCCTCGCCTAGAGTGAAGGAGATGGATGCAGTGTGGAACTACAAGACCATGGTTGACCGCAAGCGCTGGGGCGCAGCTAGAAATGAATTGGGCGGAAAAAGGTTTTTCCGACATGTTGACATATCAGGTTATGGCCATGCCGTTTGCCCACCCCAAACCCTAAATGAACGCTTGCTAACCTTATTCCCTACTATAAGCCCAATACATCTATCCCATCATACTGTAGTAGTTCCCGTTTTCTTTGCCATTACCCCTACACAACCCAAAGATATTAAACCCTAAACTGCTTATTTGCAGATGGCTTTGAGCTCTTGAGGTTGGCAACGTCATCACCTCCTCGCCGTACGGCCCACACGGAGAGCATCCGGAGCGTTGGCGAGCAAATGGCTCCTTCCCGCTTCCCACCGCGGCCCCGAACAGCACCATCCTGCTTCAGGACAGACTTGTTGCTGATATGAGCTGTAGTCTGAACTCCTTGAAGGGTGTTATATAGGGATTATACAGGGTTCCTGTTATAGGGCTTATTAAGGGGGATACTAGGAGTGTAGACTGTAGCTCATATGATGCTCCCTCAACGTCCCTTTTCGTCATGGTGTAGACTCAGAGAAGGTAGAAACAATACGTATCGCATAGATTACAAAAGCATGGTTACTATATGAGCTATAGTCTAAACTCCTTAAAAGGGGTTATATAGGGGACTACTATAGGACCTATTAAGGGGGATACTAAGGGGGATACTAGGAGTTTAGATTATAGCTCATATGCAACAATGAGAGTCAAGCCGATGGCTTTGTACATACGTTTCTTACAAGAGTGTTACGGATATGAGACAGACATTACTCTTCGCGCTACAGCGGGCCACTTCTCTCCTGCTGCACATGCTGTCGCCGCTGCTGCTACAGGGCTTCCTAGAATAGAAGAAGCAATAGTGGCACATCATTCGCCCACCAAAGCATCGCACAGATAGACATGCCCGAGCTCCCCAGCCTCCGTCACTTCAACTCGAGGACGAGAAGACAAATTTGGTGTTGCGCATCAAGCCGGATGTTGAAGAGTACGACAACAAGTATGCGCAGCAACTTCAATCAGACTACGAGTCCCTGGTCCGGAACATCAACGACGCAAGCCAGAAAATAAGTGACCTGCGTACCCGGCGTCTGGGTTGCGGATATGGAACTTAAATTAAGTTACCATACTATACTATGGTACCCAATTTAGACCTCCTTTTGGGTCTAGCATGTTATATACAGAATATAACCCTCCTAGGCTCTCAACCACCAAAGAAATTCTACTCATGTACCCTTATTATAGTAACTTAACTTATGTACCCTTGTGATTTTCGGAACTTAAACTAAGAACCCTAAACCCTAAGTTCCTTAACAGCCACCCAGGCTCTGGAGGATGGAGGATTTTGCCAAGCAGTTCATTGCGCTGCCCTCCGGTGTGTGGAACAAGATTGATGCGAACTGAGGTCTAGGGTTTAGGGTTTAGAGTTGAGGTCTTTTGCAGTTTAGGGTTGAGGGTTGCGGTCTTTTGCATATATGATTCACTTTTGATCCTTTTCCAGTAGGCAGAGCTGCCAGTGCCTAGCAGAATTTTGTTGCTTGTATTTGCCCACAAGCGGCTCCATCGATCCTTTTAAACTTGATTTACTAGGGTTCCAAATATTGGGGTCCCTTTCACTGACCTCCTACTACATGAGGATTCAGAAGAGGGACCCCCAACCTTGGGAGACCCTTATGTGGGGGCGACTTTGTCCTAGACGGCCTGCCATAGTGTAAGGCCCGGCCAACGAGATGCCTCAGAAATGCAAAATACACTGGATCTGGGAGGTTTAGGGTTTGGGGTTTGGGTATAGGGTAAATTGGATCTAGAAGAAATTTTGAATTATCGGGGATCATAGGCCATGCCCTAAACCCTAACCCCATAGGATTCAATATTGATAATTATTTTCGAAATCCAATGCCATTCTTTAAGAGGGACCCATGTATTATGTTATCAATTAAATCGCGAATTATAATCAATTGATTATATTTCGTTCCATATCAATGAAGAATTGATAATTTCGGAAAAAAATAGGATCGCGTAGATATTGCATTCGCATATATAGTCTTTGGGCTTCTTAATAAAAGAGATTTTCTATAGACCGTGGCAGCCAGCATCATGAGCATCAGCTGCCCAGCTTTTTTGCCAAACACGCCGCACGAGTCAGCATCATGAGCATCAGCTGCACTTTTTTGGCTCCACACCCCGCGCCAGTCGGCATCATGAACAGCAGCTGCGCAGCTTACCTGCACAACACCCCGCACCAGCCAGCGTCAGGAGCATCAGCTGCCCAGCTTTTTGGCTCAAGACACCGCGCGCAGCAGGTGGCCACCTTTTTTTGCTCAACACCCCGCAGCAGCCAACGTCTTGTTGCATCAGCTGCCCTGCATTTTTGCTTAGCTTCAGCACCCCGGGGCAGGCAGCATCATGAGCATCAGCTGCCTACTTTTAGGCTCCACGCCCCACAATCCAAATCATTTCCTGGTCTTACTGGCGGGTTTAGGTATAATAATATACAATCGCTATATAATATATTCCTTTATTCCTACGAATCACCAGTAAGTCTTCTCAACTCCTGCAGCTTCGGTTGGCAGCTGTCTCACCTGCTAACCTGCATTCCACCGTCCATATTCGGGGCCCCTTTAATGAGTCCAGAAGTTTCTACGAGAAAATACCACACTTCGCCCCCCCTTTCAAATAGGCTCTACACCCTAAAGACTAAATCCCTAAACCCTAGATAACCCCCCTCTCAGGCGTTTAGACTACAATTCACGTAGGGACGTTTCCCCAATGTAAAGGGAACAATAAAATTCGTAGACTTGAAGATTTTAGCTTCTTAGATTTTTCAGGAGAAACCCTTAATAGGATTGAATTTCTAGATTTTTGAATATAAAATACGCGCATTTAAAGATGGAATTGAATTTCTAGATATTTGGGCATAAGATGCGCGCATTTAGAGGATTGATCATCTTCTACGATACTCCTAAATATTAATCTTTAAGGTCGGCTCTCAGATTCTAGGGCAGAAAAAAAAGAATATAAGCAAATTTATGCTAGTTTTTTGAGCTATATCCTCGCTTATATAATATAGATTCGTGGGATTAGCTGACTACGGCACAACCATGCGAGCAATTTGCTACCAAGACGTTTCTGAATGATTAGCCTATAGCGCTCCATATGGTCACTCTGCAAACGGTCTTTCCTAAAGATTTGGTCTGGGGATATCCGCGCGCTAGGTCCGGAGCCTAAAATATACACTTATGGGCGTCAAGATAAAGAGAATTTTTTTTAAATAGATATCCGCGATTCAGGCCATGAATATCCACGAGATTTGAGAAAGCTTATATAGCTCTGTAAGTATGGCACGCCAACCACCAGACCCATCACGCGACCGAAATTGCTAGGCCCAACAACATAACATTCATAATCTTAGATAAATAGCAATAATAGTAAGTTTTACCATTAAATCTACGATAGCGACTCCGAGCCATATTCTTTAGATTTATATATTTTTCAAATTAATATTCTCAAAGTTTGATTATATAATTCTATCAAGAATTTTTAGATTTGAGAATTTGAAAATCTATCATATTTAGCGCGCAATATCTAACCCATACGAACCTATCTAAATTTAAGAAAATTTACGACTTATGAAAGCAATTCCAATCCCCAAAACGACTAGATTGTAATATATATATATATATCTAAATCTATATATTTTAATTTATAAATTAATTATCACAAGCTAAATATATATATAATTACGTATTTACCCGTATCCAAAACGTATAATTTTTTTCTCCACGCCTCTAAAATTTGAATTTAAAAATATTAATAATATTCAATGATCTTAAAATTAATATTGACAAAGTGGGAAATATATTCAAATCGCAGATCGTATTTAAAATACGGCGCGTTTATTTTCAAAGATATTGCGAATTATAATATCCGCGGCTGCAATTTTTAGACGCGCTAAATTTTCAGAGATTCTGCCCAAAACCGCAGCGCCGCTCTTGATTTTTTAGGCGCGCCCTTTGATCTCTAGGGATAGCTAAAGAGAGATAAATCTCACGGAAGACCACTCCAGAGGCAAGCGGAAAGATTTTGGATGTCCGCCCCAGGTCTATGAGTTCCGCCGAGCCGCCGCGCAGAAAACCGCAGAAAGAGAAATAGTTCGAAATCTCGGGAGATTCTTGGTCGTGCGGCCCTCCCATCCAGCCCAGTCTTTCCGCCTCATTTATCTCTCTTGGGCTATCTGCGCGGCGGCTCGGGGGAGCGCATAAATCCCCGTAGACATTTTAGAGGTGAAGCTAGGCCGCGCGCGAGCGAAAAGGCCGCAAGTGGCCGCGCCGTATTATTGAGGTAGAAGACCGCATTTGATATAAAGATTCTGAAAGATTTTAGAACTCCGCCCCGGGTCTATACCTTCTACCGAGCCGCTGCGCAGATAGCCAAAGAGAGAGATGGTTCGAAATCTTCGAGATTTTGGGTCGCGCGGCCCACGCATCCAGCCCGGTCTTTCCGCCTCATTTATCTCTCGAAGCTATCTGCGCGGCGGCTCGGGGGAGCGCATAAATCCCCGTGGACAGACACGGCCGACCCTATAAATCCTGAAAAACTTAGGTTCTCCGTCCCGGGTCTGCACGCTCCAGCGAACAGCCGCACTGACAACCAAGAGATAAATCACGCGGATCATATAAGATCGCACGTGAAGCCCGATGAGCAATCAATATACAAGACCGCACGTGACCAAAAACGGCCAACCTAACAGATTCTGAAAGATTTGGATCTCCGTCCCGGGCCTGCCTCGAGCCGCCGCGTAGACAGCCAAAGAGAGAGAAATGGCTCGACACGTCAGGAGATTTCGGGTCGCGCGGCCCCCGCATCCAGCCTCGGGGAGCGCATAAATCTCCGTGGACAGACACGGCCAACCTATAAATTCTGAAAGATTTTGGTTGTCCGTCCGGGTCTTTGCGCTCCCCCGAGCAGCCGCGCAGACAACCAAAGAGAGATAAATCACGCGGAAAACTGTTCCGGAGGCAAGGGCCGCGCGACCAAAAATCTCCGAGATGTGTGGTCGCGCCGCCCGCACCAAAAATCTCGGAGATTTTACAGCCTCTAGCTTTTCCGAAGGGCTCTAAAATCTCCGAGATTTTAGAGCCCCTAGGGAGCCCGCAGGAGGCGTTTTAGAGGTAAGCCGGAAAAGCTGGCCGCGCGCGAGCGAAATGGCCGCAAGTGGCCGCGCCGTAATATTGAGATATTTTTCGTTTTATCCAATTTATCTATCTCTTATTCTCTTGCTTGTGGTTGCTTGCTCTCTGCCTTTATTTGTTTTTGTTTGCTGCTCTATCTTTTTTTGGTTCTATAAGTTTGATATTATTATGCCTTTGAATATGATTTGGATATTGATATAGGCTACATATAGATCAATCGATTTCATTTTCAATTTGTTAGGGTCTTCCCGGATGCAATCGCTTGAATCCTACGAGCTTCGTCGCTCCTGCATGTCCTCTCGGATCAATTCTTCACGATTTTGGATGTCCGCCTCAGTAGTTATACGGCCCTCCTAGTCCTAGACCCTTGATTGCCGTCTATTTAGGCCTAAGGTCCCACTTTTAGGGGCCCTATAACCCAATTAAAGGTACTAGCAGAGTCCTGGCAGGCAACTTCATGTCTCAAATTGTGTTTTGTGTTCAGGCTAACAAACATACCACGACTCCAAGCCTGGTAGCTGCAAGAGGCGCCGTGTTGTCCTAAACCCAAAACAACATTATTCCACCACGACTGCTCGGGTTTAGGGTTTAGGCTTTGCGGATACTACTGCTTTTATTGCTGATTCTTTTTCATACGACACCCCAGCCCGCCTGAAGCACCCTGAAGGAGCCAGATTTGCTTGTGGTACTTGCCCCGGACATCTGTGAGTACACCTGCAGCCAGCTCTCGTGTGGGAGTTTCTCATAAAAAAGGGGGGAAACACCCTACAACCTGAACCCTGAAATTATTTGAGAAACGCCCATCTGGGTATCTGGAAGCGCAGGGGACCCGTGGGGTGTATAGTTCTGAAAAGATATTGGCTCCTTCTCAAGGATTTGATGTTTAATGGCCCGCGTTCGCAAATGTTCTCATGTCTAGTACCAGTATTATTATAGCAGTTGCTACTGCCATCTGATTATCTAATCTAATAGTTGCTTTCAGGCAAGTGTCCACTGACGGAGATCCTACACTACCTTACTGATTGTTAGCAGCGAATAGGGGACCCTACAACCCTAAACCCTAAACCCCAGGTACTCTAATGACGACCCGTATCCTCTGCCTGGTTTTCTTCGAGCCTGGGAGTGGGTTTCAGGGTCCAGTTTTGGCCGAAAATACTCTCTCTTTTTTTATAAAAAAAAGCAAGCAACTGTAGCTTGCTGCGACCAAAAAACCCTCAACCCTAAACCCTCAACCCATTTGGCACCTTCAAGGTGAGAAGGTCTTTCACCATGGTCTTGCAATTCTCCTCCTGCTCTTGACCAAGCCTGTGTCACTTTGGCAGCTTCTCAAAGCCAGTCTTAAAACTCCATACGGGCTGAATAGGGGTTATATAGGGATTATAGGGTAATATGGGGGTTATATTGGGATAGTGGAAAATCAAATGGAAACTACTATTATATATTGGGGGCGACCTATAGGGGACCATATAGGGTTTTGCGGTGGACCAAATTAAGGGGTAGTCTAAGCTCCGAGTATTCCTGTAAACAATCCTATAGGGTTTGGATCCCTAGAAGTTATGACCTCAGTTTCCACCTCAATTTTGACCGAAAGTATTTAGTTTTAACTTGTCCAGAACAATGGGGTTGTTATAGGACTCCCAGACACGACTTTAAGTGGGGTTGTTTTGGGGGTTGGTTTTGGGGTTCTCCCAGACCATTTCTGGGCTGGCTCAAACCATTTCCAAACCTGCTTGGGGTTGCGCTGCTTCCAAAGGCTGCTCGGGCTCTCCCACTTTGGGGTTGTGTATTTCTTGGCTGTCTGTCGCCTCTCCAGGCCATTTGGGGAATGCTTTTGGGCGGCGCAGGGACTTGTGCACAGCACCAACTTGTTCAGATGAAAACCACAGGCACACAAACTTGCATGTCCCATCGTGAACGTATACAATTTCCATCTATCTGTGCCTTGAGGGTTGAGGGCTGTTTCCCCCTGACATTTCCAATCATAGGCCTCTATGTGTTCCCCTATTCAACCCCCTTTAAGGAGTCTCGACTGGAGCTCATGTAGAGGGATCCTTGCAGAAAAGATTCACAAGCAGAATCTATACTTAGGAGGAATGCCTTAGGTGGACTCCCCACCCAGTAATAGTGACGAGAAGGGATAATAGGGATTATATTAGGGTCCTCTTATATTCTTATTATGCTACTATTACAGGGTGGGGGGTCCTCCTAAGGAAGGCCAGTGTCCAGGTTCATATTAATCAGCTTCCCCTAAGCTTAAGGGAACAGGCAATGGATTCTGGGCGGCTTAGACTTTTAAGGGGCCCAGGTGTATGGGTTGTGGTCATCGGGGGCTTGGACTTTCGTCAGTGCACTTCCAGGTTGGTTCTAGGGCAGCGCATGTTTATCAAGAAATTGGGGTTTCCGGGTGATGTCCAACAGCCCCTCCACTGGAAAACTTTCAAAACAACTAAAAAACCAACGCATGAGCATACTTTGGGGAAGAGGGTGGCTTCTACACTCAGCCGGAGGCAAACATACTGAAATGGACATACATTAGGAGGACCCCCCACCCTGTAATAGTGATATAATAAGACTATAAGAGGACCCTAATATAGCCCCTATTATCCCTTATAGTCACTATTACTGGGTGGGGGGTCCACCTAAAGACATACACGTCAAGAACCCAAAAAACTTCCATTCCATGCGGACCAGGCATCGTCTCCACGGGCATAGCCTAGCTCGCCAGTTTGCTGATTCAGGGATTCAAGATTATGGTGGGAAGAGCCCTCAAAGCGCGTATAGTGGGAGAGAGAGAGAGAGAGATTTTTGAGAATTCCATTTTGGGTTTAGGATTTGGGGCTCAGGGTTTTGGGGTGAAATGGGCTTTTTCAAGCTTGACTCTGAAAGGAAATCTTCATAGTGGGGCATATTGAGGCATATCACCGGGGCTACCTGGAGATCAGAGTTTCAGAATTTGGGATCCTGGGTTTTAGGGCTTTTGGGCTGGAGGAGTTTTGGGTTTAGGGTTGACGGTTTTGGGTTCCGTCCGCATCCTACAGACAAATCCAAACATGCCATCCTCCTTTATTATTAGGACCCCCCAACAATACTCCCAAAGGGAAACTCTCAAGTGAAACCCGGGAGTGTGAAGAGGTTGGACGTGCTTCGGAATTGGTGTTTAGGGCTGCTAAGACCCATGGGGGCTTAGGTTGTGAGAGCGGAGGGTTCAAGCGCTCTACACATCACTTGACACCTTCCAGCTGTAAGGACTGAAGGCCACTGGAAAAGTATCGTTGGGCTTGAGTCCTGAAATTCTGAATTCAAGGCGGGTTGGAGGTCTAGATGGGAGTCCCCCATTTTGGGAAAATAACTTCTACCTATACTATGCAGATCGCGAGGAGTGTTGCAAGTATACCATGTGATTGTTCTATCTTGCATTTGATCCATTGGAGGATGCCAAGCATTTTTGGAATCATCCCTGCAAAGCCCTAAGCCCAGTCTAGGGTTTAGGGTTTAGGGCTCCCATGAGCCCTATGCATCTCTGACCCGATCCTCCCCGAACCCTGACCCCTACACTCCAAGCCTTCATAGTAACCCTCCAGAGCACTGCCTAAACTTACTGCTGTTCGTAGGGAATGCGGGAATGGATCCCACTCGTAGTCTCTACACACACCCCTATACTCACCCCCTTAAACCAGTCCCCCATTTACTTTACACCTAAGCCCAAAAAGCCATGTAAGAAGCCCAGTTACCCCGTTCATTACCCTACTTTCGACGTCGCCTGGACCCGCCAAGCAGTACCAAGATCTTCTGCCAGGTGGCTTCGCCCAACGTGTCCACTAACCTCCTTGCTTCAAACTCAATGTCAGGCGTGGCCTAGGCTGGGTTCAGGGTTTAGGGGATTCGGGTTTAGGGTTATGAAAACGAGAACAGTTTGAGGTTTAGGTAAGAGCAATACAATCATAGTATGCTAGTAAGAAGTACTCGGTCAATCTCAAAATTTGGATGCCTGAAGTGACCCAGGTAATGTGGCTCCAAGGTTTACGGATTAGACTACCCCAAACCCTAAACCTTAAATCTTAGAGGCTTCGCCTTGATGCGCCAGCGCAGGATGGTGGTTTTAGCAGCAACAAGGAGTGCCAATCATTGCATAAGCAGAATCGGGCTTAAATAAATTGATCATTGCCGCGAATTTACTCAATCTAAGTGGGCGCAAGAACCAATCACTGCATTGACAGAACGAGGTTTGAGTGAATTGAGCATTATTGCCAATAAACTTAATCCATGCTGTACT